CCGCCTCACCCCGCTCGGCGCCTCCGCTCTCGTCCCGGCACCGCCCGAAAGAGCACGGCGAGTAACAGCCCCAACCGCTCTGCGCGGTGGCGGCCGCCTCTCTACCCGCGCGCGCAGTCAAACGCTGCTGCGGGCTCCGCCCAGGGGCCAATCGCAGCGGGGCCTGGTTAGGGGCCGGGGAAGACGCATTGAAAACCTGTCCGGTGCGCTCAGACCGCGCGTGCGCAGTGCGTCAGTGACTCCGCTCCCGGATCAGCGCCCGGGCTTAGCTCAGACCGGGAGCTGCCTGGCCACGCCCCCGCCTGCTCCAGCCCCTGGCGTTCCCCTCCCCTCAGGCCGTAGAAGCTCAGGCCCAGTGGCCCCAGAGGGGTAGCTGTCCACATTGCCCAGACCTAGGGCCTGGGCAGGCACGTGGCTGTTCTGTGCCAGTGACAGCACAACTGGGTCACTGGGGTTGAGGGCAGAGCCACATCCCCCACTGAGACTCAGCCCCACTTTGCGGGTCCCAGCTGCTGCCCCTCCCCTGCCCAGGGAAACGGGGCAACAAAGCAGAGAGCAGCCCCCTGGGGAGGGGGTGTGGCAGTCCTTGTCACCCCCATTCTCCACCCCACCTGGGGCAGTAAAACAGCCTGTTGGGGGTGGTCTGCCCTACCTTAGCAGCTGGGAGACATTGGTCCCCAAATGGGTCCTGGCTCTGATGATCATTATGACGGGGTGAGTCATGTGCCTCAGCAGCACCCTGCTTTTATTGGGTGCAAAGGGGAACAGAATTTGATTGTGAAACATGAGAGGTAAATAGGGGGGTTAATCCCTTTGCCCCTTCAGCCCCCCAATAAGGAAAATGACTCAGGGCAGAAGCTTCCCTCCAGAAAGGGGACGATGCTACAATCAAAAGCTGTGAGGAAAAGCCCCAGAGCTGAGAGGATTTTTGCTCAGTAACTGGCAATGGCCGTGGGACCAGCCCATTGATGACACTGGGGAAAACCCCAGTGCATCTGTGGGACAGTGAACACACCTAAGAAAGCAGGAGCAAACGATTTGCATAGCTGCCCCAGGGTCCCTCCCCAGTCCCAGCTCACTGTAAGGGACACAGTCCTTCAGCTCCTGCCTATGCTTATAAACGGGAGCAGCGCTGGCTTCTGGGTGCCTTAAGAAACCCTTGGCCCTGTAGCATCTGAGAGACTAGCAAAAAATCTGGAGAGTGTCATGAACTTTTGTGGCACAACCCACTGCCTCAGATTCTGTGTCTGTACCTGCTTGGGAGTTTTCTTAGGTGCTTGTTTGGGAGCATTTCTGGAGCACTGACTTCTGTGGGGCTTTTTTACTTTCTTCATTTCTGTCCTGCGAGTGTGATTGACTCCCAGTTGTGCAACCTACTTAGAAAAAAAAAAGCAGGCTATGCTGCTTCCTCACTCTCAGAAATGAAACCAACCTGCAGGGCTGGGTTGCAGAGGGGCCATGGCTGCCGGGGACCTGGCCGGGAGCTTCCAAGATGAGGTTTACGTGTCCCATCTGCCTGGAGTATTTCATAGACCCGGTGACTATTGAGTGTGGGCACAACTTCTGCCAGGCCTGCCTCAGCTAGTGCTGGGGTGAGTCGGAGCCCAACTTTTCCTGTCCCCAGTGCAGAGAGACCACCCCGCAGAGACACCTGAGGCCCAACTACCAGCTGAGCAACCTGGTGGAGCGTGGGGCCAGCCAGTGCTCGAGGGGCAACAAGGGTGCAAGAAGCACCAGGAGGACCTGAAGCTCTTCTGCCAGGAGGATAAAGCCCCCATCTGTGTGATCTGCAGAGAGTCCTGGGAGCACAGCACGCACACAACGGTGCCCATCGAGGAGGCAGACCTGGAGTATAAGGTAGTGACCAGGCTGTGCAGGGCGGAGAGTTAGAGGGGTAGCAACAGAGCCCCCTGCATGTGTCTGACCTGCCCTGGGTAGAGCCAGGGGCCTGCCTGGGAACAGGACCCAGCCACATGGGGCTAGGCCAAGCCCAGCAGCGCTGCTGGGGAGTTACTGGGGGCTGGAGAGGGGGGACCTGCTCCCCCAGCCTGACTGCTCCATGGCACTGTTCTCGCTGGGCACAAGCCAATGGCCCCAAGCAGCCCCAGAGCCTCTGTGTTTGCAGGAGCAAATCCTGAGCTGCCTGCAGCATTTGCAGGAGGAGAGAGACACGCTCCGGGGCCTGGAATCTGACTGAGCCAAGGAGAGTGAAGGGCTCCTGGTAGGTGCCCAGCCCTGCCCAGCTGCTTTGCACAGGGTGAGCAGCGACAGCAGCCAGGGGTCTCTGTGCTGGCTGGTATCTGGGTTGATCAGAAGGTTAAAGGGTTTCAGAGTCGATGCAGGGACACATCTCAGGGTCTCTTCAACCAGTGGGGGGGCAGCCTTTGCTCAGAGCTACCTGGTGTAAATCAGGACAGTGACCCCACTGGGGTTTGAGTCAGTGTGACACACCGGGCCGTGTCTGGGCACAGCTGAGGGCGTCCGCTCAGGGTGAATTGCTCGAATCCGGGGCTCCTTACAGCCCCCAGACTGGTGACCTCTCCACACAGGCCACAAACCAGTCCCACAGAGCGCTTCAGCAGCCTGCCTGAATCCTCACGAGCAAAACCCCTCCGACACCCCAGCAATAACCGTGCCCCAGATGGCCCCAGACCTCATACACAGGTGGGGGATCCTAGCACCAATCCCACCTATCCCGAACAAGTTCTGTCCGGTTCCAAGAAACCAGCCACAGATCTCTGGTCAATTTATCCTTTGGACCTTACCCACAAATCACGCTGGGCCAATCCTTTAGCATCTAACAACTAAAGGTTTATTAACACAAGAAAGAAAAGCATGAGAGTAAGGTTATTAAAGTACAGTACGTT